TTGACTCACACACTCACACACACACACACACACACACACACACACGCACGCTTCAGCAGCGGCTCTGATGAGAGATCGCTAACCTGTGAGACAGCCTTTGAAGCTGACATCTTTCCACTCCATCTCTGTCCTCTCTCTCTCTCTCTCTCTCTCTCTCTCTCCCAGCTAGAGCAGGTGGTCTCCAATCGACTCCCCACTTCACAAATCAGCATTCACACATACATTCGCTCCATCCATCTCTCACTGGCTTGCGGACGGGCTGCGATCCCCCCTGAGCTAATTCCATTATACATTCTGTCTGGAAGTAAGAGAGGACTGCCCTCTAATTGCTTTCTTATCCCCCTGAGCCCCCTTTCTCTCCTTTACGCTCCTTTCCTCTCCTCCAAACTGCACCCCCAGCCCCAGCCCCCGCCCCGCTCCGAACATGGCAGCAAAGGGAAGGAGGAAAGTGAAATAGAGCGACTACACGCGCCAGAGAGAGAGAAAGAGAGAGACAAGTCTGCCACTGACAGGGAATATCTGCCATTTTCCGCGTTGCAGGAGGCTGCAGCCCTGATCCAGAGGACCCGGGATCCAGGCACAGGCACCGCCGCAGGTAGAGACGCATGTTTCTCCGCATTTAAGGGGTTTAATGTCAGTGCGAGTGGATGGATGGATGGATGGGGAATGCGGGACGGAGCGCTGCTGTGCCTCTCCAGAGCCACATGCATGGGGACAGGGGGGCGTGTTGGATAACAGGATGCCCATGTGTTTGCCGTTGCGCTCCGAGCCTGATCTGAGTTCAGTTTGCTTCTGTGCGAATCCCGTTTCAAAAGCTACAGAGCTGATCTCAAATCTGGCAACTTTTAGTAGCAACAGATACTCTCTGAGAGGGCTATTTTGTTTGAGTCCAAACTGTTTTTATTATGTTGTACAAGTTCAGGTTCCGTGGGGGGGCTCTATAGCAGTGCCATCATTTTGAGAACCTTTTTTTTCTTAATGTGAAGAACATTTTAATAATCTAAAGAATCTTTTTCCACTTTTTGCAATGGAAAGGTTCCACTGATGTTAAAGGTTCTATATGGAACCATACATGCCAAAAAAAATAACCTTTATTTTCAAGAGTGTTTTGAGTATTTTAACAATAAGAAAGGCATTTTTAAGCTTCAGTCTAGATGTGATTCACACACTGTGTTTGTGAAATGTGCTAAACCACAGTCATATTTGGAGCGTAAAACACAAATCCAGACTCAGCATGCGCTTGTGTTTATGTTAAAGACGCATTATGCATATGCAGTGTGTGTTTTATATGAAAACCTGTGCGTATGTGATAATACAAGGAAGATTTTGTGCTTGAGACATTCTAGACTGTGCTAAACAAGGGCTGCGTGTTGAGCCGAAATCAAAAACAACGCAAAACTTGTGTGTTTGTCGTACTCAACATGCTCTTATGTTTATGTTGACGACACATTATGCATATGCAGTGTGTGTTGCGTTTTATATGGTAACCTGTGGTTATGCGATACTATGAGGGTGATTTTGTGATTGAGACGTTCTGGAAAGCATATAGGTCTGTTTACATGCATTTCAAGGGAATTTGTTCTGTTGGTGTGTGTGTGTTATTTTGCATGCACCGTGCCCTTGATCAAGGAAACTTGGGGGTAAGACAGCTCTAACCTATTAAACGCTGCACTGAGACTGCAGTGTCACAGCTGACTGATATTGATGCTCCGGACAGCCCCCCTCGCAAGAATCCATTTAGAGACGTGTGAGTGTGTGTGTGTGCGAAGGGAGTGTGTGTGTGTGTGTGTTGGTATGTGTGAGATGGACAGATACGGAGCGGAGAGAGAGGTGAGAGGAATATGAAGGCAGGGGAGAAAAATGGAGGGATGACATGAATATGTGAGTGAATTAGAGAGAAGGAGGAAAAATTTATACCAACATCTGCAATAACATATTAGATAAATCCACAAAAAACGTTGCAACTGTATTCCCAAGGTTAAGAGTGTCAGTCTGCATGTAAAACAACCCAAGACATCAGCAGACGAGATCATGTGCCAAACACACACACACACGCGCGCGCGCTTGCAGGGGGCGGGTGGTATGACCACAATCTTATATCATGCTATGAGTCATTTTATATCATGGTAATATAACTTGACATTTTTAATTATATACATTTAATGATAAAATAGATCAATTTTTATATTATAGAATTAGTATTCGTCATAATTCATGATGACTGCTTTTTGATAATCCAGTAAATTAAATAATATTTCACAAGTGAAAGATACTTATTTATTATTAATTATTTTATTTATTTCACATTTATTATTATTATTATTATTATGTATTTGGAACTTGATGGATACATGCCAAAATACAACAGTAATCTTATTTTTCATTAAAATATTCCCTAGATATTTCATATCTAAACAATTACTTAAACGAGAATTATTCCGAATTCAAAATATTCAGACACTTTAGAGAATATCTTTTTACTAATTGTTTCTTACTGTAGTGACGTGTATGTTCTTGTTTTAAACATAAACCTTACTCTTTTGTTAGATTTATGCTTAAAATAAGATTTTAAATAGGCTAAATATTAATTTTAGTATTAGTAAAGTATTTGTATTCATAAATAGATAAATATAGTCAAATAATTAACTAAAAATTAATATAACTTTTTTTTTAGGATGTTTAATTTTTTTGAGGGGGGGGGGTTGTTTGTTTGTTTGTTTGTTTTGTTTTTTCTAAAAACAATGCAAAAATTATGAAAAAGACTGATTTTGCAGTATAATGCCTATTTTTAGCTAATCCAGTAAATGTTATTCATCTTTTTCCATCTCACTTTATTATTTTACCTTTTTATTTAGAATTTGAAGATGGAAATCAAAAGATCAGATTATGAAATGAAAAACACATCTGGCATAAGAGAACAAACAGCTTCACAAAATAAACACAATACTAAAACCAGCATTATAGCAACTCTGAATTCTGATTCGATGAACCACATCGAAGCTGCTGTAAAATAGCTGATACAAACACATCAGGTGAATTCTATATTAATGCGGCTAGTTTCGACGTTGCTCGGCAACCATAAACAGCTAAACTCTGTTTCACGTTACTGCCCTTAATAACAAGTTCTTTGTCATCTTTACTTGTTTGGGACACGTCACTCTCTGTATATCTGCATTATTCCACATTTGCTCATGTGTACAGAAAATAACCTAATGCAGTCCTGCCCACCCAAATACAATGTTCTAGCCAAATCCGTAGCGGTGGACACATTTCTACCATCATGCCGCCCAGCTCTCCATGGCCCTATATTTTTTTGTCAGGACTATACCCAATGTAACGTGTAGGCTGATGCAATCCCCTGAAACTGTCACACACCTGAGGGTCAGTCAGAGAACAACCATGAAAAACAGAACGAGAGAGAGAGACCGATCGGAAACCATCGGCTCTTTCAAGAATAGAAAGCTACAATCTGGCACGGCTCAAAACAGATCCATAAGGTCAGGACGGGGCAGAGTGCGCAAGGGAGGAAGAGAGGAGAGGAGCGATGGAGGAATCATTTATCTCCAGATGCTGCTGTCTCTGCAGCACTAGGCTCAGCAGTCTTGCTCCGAACGAGCGGAGAACAGGAAATGAAAGGATGGAGAGAAAAAAATAAACAACAAACTCGACCGTCAGGGGGTCAGATATGTGACACCGTAATGAATCGACACCACAGAAACGTTTCGCAAATGCACCGGGCTCAGGCGCATTAATGCGCAACCGAGGGTCGCAAAACAACCCATGTTCAACGAATGTCATATTTACAGGCAAAAATACTGATTTGGTTGATGCTGACGTGTGCGATTTCTCCCGCAGTTGTAGCATCAAATGGAGACCAATAATACTAATTGTTTCCAAACAGGTTTCCAGAACACTCCCTCCGTCTGCCATTGGCTGAATCAAACAGACAGTCCCACCCTAAACTCACAGCATTGGTCAATATAGCTGTGTCAGGACGCTTAAACAGCAATATTTTGATAGTGTCGCAGCGTAAACCACTTGCTTATGGCCATAGAAAAATATCTACTTATATCTATCTATCTATACATATATATACAGTATATTAGGGGTGTAACGGTACACAAACATGACGGTTCGGTACGTACCTCAGTTCTGACGTCATGTTCGGTATGGTTTCGGGACAGCAGGGGGAAAAAACTAAACATACATTTGCTTTTTTTGTTAAACAGTGGTTTACTAAACAAATGGCTCTTTCTTTAAATAAATTCAATTCTAATTCAAAATTTCTTAGGGATAAAAATCTACCTCAGCTTATGCTCTAAACTATAGGGTTACAATTAACAACAGAGCCCAAACTTAAATGTAATTACTATTTATTTTTAAATATAATAATGAACACTCAACTTTAAAAAAAAAAATGTACTAACGAAAACACACACACACACACACATATATATATATATATATATACACTGTATATATATATGTAGTAGAAATACTGCAGCAAAGATGCATTAGTAAATGTATTAACTAATGTATAGATTTCTATTTCAAATCAATGCTGTTCTTTTTAACTTATTATTTGTCAAAGAATCCTGAAAAAAAACTGTTTCCACAAACATATATTAAGCAGCATAACTGTTTTTAACTTTGATAATGATAAGAAATGTTTCTTGAGCAGCAAATCAGCATATTAGAATGATTTCTGAAGGATCATGTGACACTGAAGACTGCAGTAATGATGCTGAAAATTCAGCTTTGCATCACAGGAATAAATTACATTTTAAAACATATTCAAATAGAAAACAGTCATTTTAAATTGAAATATTATTTCACAATATTACAATTTTTACTGTATTTTTGATCAAATAAATGCAGCCTTGGTGAGTGTAAGATATTTCTTTCAAAAACATTTAAAAAAATCATAATTATTCCAAAATTTCAAACGCTAATGTATGCATATTTGTGAAACTGATTCAATTAAAATAATAAAGCAATAGAGAAACTGTTCTGGGATGTCAGTAAGATAACACTACGCACACTTTTTCACAAGCAAGCAAGACATTGCGACGCACCAAACCATTATCCACCTAAAAATCGGTTATTTTTAAACTGCTGTGCACCACTTCCATGATTTTATGTGACATATGATATGATTTGTCAGGGTAATCAAAGCAAAAATGGTTCTTTCTCAACACATATTGGTGGCTAATGGTGTAAAATTTAATAGAATATAAATTAAATTAAATACAAAAAGGGTTTTCAATTTAGTCTTTAGCTCTCCGTTTCTTGGCTGTTAAGTGTGTATGTGTGTGTTTGTGTGTGGTTGTGCTTAATGAACTCATGGCCTGTTGTTTATGTTTGTGTGCGTGTTTACGCCCCTCACGTCCATGTGTGTCTGAATATACACATCTGTGTGCGATTAGGAGCGTGACGTATGGTGTTGGTGGTAGCACAGTGAAATCACTTGGATGTCATCCAGCTCAGAGGAAGGTCATCTAGCGTTTCTCCAAATAGATCCAGCCTTTCCACTCCACTGCTGCTGTATTTACCAGTCCACTGGCCCAGAACGCTAGTGCACACACGCATGCGCAC